CATTTTGGTTATATATCACTGTCACTGTCCTCCCACTGTTCATTGATTTGCTCGAGTGGGCCCAGTAACATTGTGAGACTTGTTACTGTGTTTGGCATATGGAATACGTCACGGGTAGCTTACCAGGCTTTGCTGTGCAGCTGAGATACACTCGGTAGTTTGCAGGGCTCTCCAAGAGGGCCGGAGGAATCAAACTCAGGTCAGCCCAGTTGGCCGTGTGCAAGGCAACCGCCCTATACGCTGTACTATCACTGAATATGTGTGTGTGTGTTTGTGTGTATGTATATTGAGTTCTTGACCTAGGTACACATAACTGCTGCATTCAGTGATGTTCGTTCTGTTGAGAGCAAATGGAACGTCAGGAACTAGTTCGTTTCTCATGAACATTGCCTTTGTGAGATTCAGCTGCAGTTTGACCTTTCCACACTCACAAAGTCGGCCAGCATTTGTGCTGTATGGCTAACGTTTGGTGTTACTAGAAAAATGTCATCAGCGAAGTGGAGGTAGTGTAGTTGCCGGCCATCTATCTTCACTCCCATTCCTTCCCATTCCAGTCCTTGCATGACATTCTCGAGGGTGGCACTAAAGAGTTTCAGTGAAATGGTATCACCCTGCTGAACCCCTTTCTTTACATCGATGATTACTTCCTGGTAGAATTGTGAGATCATGGTGGTGAATCCATAATACAGCTCATGGAGGATCCTGATGTACTGAGTTTGAATGCCCTGTTTGGCTAGGGCTTCGATGACCACTTCCATCTCAACAGAATCAAAGGCCTTCTTTAAATCAAGGAACATTAGATAGAGCTTCATCTTGAACTCCCAAGAAACCTCAATGAGCTTGGTTACCGTGTGGATATGGTTGATTGTGCTGAATCCTTTTCGGAACCCGGCTTGTTTGCATGGTTGTCTTCATCTAGTGTGCTGCCAATCCTATTCAGGATGACTCGAGTGAACAGCTTGTAGATGACAGACAACAGGCAGATCAGGCAATAGTTGCCAATGTTGTGGATGTTTTCCTTCTTGTACAGTAGAACGGTCCTGCTGCTTTTCCATTGGGACAGAACCTTGCATTCAGACAGGTAGCATGTGAAGAGCTAAGCCAGTGCATTAATGAGTACTGATAGCAGATTCTTCAGGTTTTCAGGTCTGACCTTGTCTGGACCGGGTGTTTTTTGCTTCTTTACCAACGAAATGGCTGTTGGATTTCAGAAGGTAGAATGATGGGAATGACATATCCATCCTGCGGAACTTGGTATGTGGGCAGGTGGAAGTGGCTATCGAAGAGACCCGAGTAGAAGTCATGGATAATCTTCTCCATTGCCCTTTTGGAAGATGTGATAGATCCATCAGGATGTCAGAGGGCAGTCATCTTGATTTTGTAGTTGGCCAACAGGCGGATGTTGTAAATGTTTTTCCTGGCTTCTGCCACATCAGCCAGCACTGCTCCTCTTCTCTCTTTAAGGTCTTCCTTTATTGCTTCTCTTCAGTGCTTTGCGAGCTCAGATATTAGCATGTGGTTTCATGAGGCTCGCGCCCAGCCACGTTGGCGAATGAGCTCGAGAGTTTTTGACTCAACATGAAGAACGACCTTTTTTTTTTTTACTGAACATGATTAACGACCTGGCTCCTGAGTTGCGCAGGAGGAAGAGAGCAGCATGGAAATCCTTCAAGAGCATCAAAGAAATAGCTAAGTGGACAAAGAACTTCTGGCTCCAGGTACATCTCCTCGACTCCACCATTCTTCCTGAATTAACATATGCCTCAGAGACCTGGGCACTACGAAAACAGGATGAGAACACTATTCGGGTCTCCCAAAGAGGAAATGAAAGAGCTGTGCTTGGAGTATCACTCTTCACTCAGTTGAGAGAAGGAATCCAGAGTTCCAACCTCTGTGGAGGGTCGAGAATCACGGACGCTGTCTCGTTTACCAAGGCATCAAAAATCAGATGTGCTGGACACGTAATGCGATTTGAACACTATCATGATCACAATCATCCTGTTGTTCGTTGATTGCCTTGAGCAGGCACCAGTAACCGTCTCCTTCGTCCTAGCCCTGAGATTCTAGAAAGTGCCGCATTCAAGGCTCTTTCAGGGTTAGGAGAACGAGACCCATCATTGTTACTTGTATTTGGCATATTCGATATGCTATGGGGAGTTTTCCAGACTCTACCATGTGGGCAGGTTTCATTCAGTAGCCTTCCAGGTTGTCCAAAGTAAGAAAGAGATAAGATGTTGCGTGGCCACATTTGCGGCCGCGTGCTTCCGGGAGCTGGGTTTTATAGTCTCTAGGTCTTGGCCGTTGATGGGATTACACGGCGCCGGCGGGGGGGGTGGGGGGTGGCAGTTGGTGGGTGTGACCCCCACCTACTGGAAGATGGAGGATCTGGGTGGAGGACGCTCAGCCCCGATCCGAGCAGGCTTGGAGATCTCAGCCCCGGGACCCGCATGCCTTTGAGGGAAACTCAACCCGCCCCCCTCCAAGGGGCCCCAGCAATTTGAACACAACCACTGGATTAGAGCTGTTACCAACTGGAATCCACAGGACATCAAAAGAATGCATGGTTGCCCACCCATGAGATGGTCAGACTTCTTCGTCAAGACCTTGAATGAACGGTTTGAGGCTCTTCATGTTCCTGGAGTGAGCAGACGCTATTGGGCTACACTAGCAGGCAACAGGAACCAATGGAGACTTTACTGGCGCCCGCTCAAGCAAATCACTGAGTAACGGGATGTCAAGTGATCAAGTAATATATATATTAAACTTTTTTAAAGATTGTTCACAATAATTTATTACATTCAATATTCCAACACCAATCCCAGCACCATTACACCTTACCGAAACCTTTATTTTGAAATTTACCACCACCATCCAAGCCTGACCCAAAGGCAGATAATAATTTATTTTGCACTGACTGTTAAGAGCAATCTGCTAAAAATGACCCAAAATGGTTTCCTTACAGAAAAGTGTATGAAGATTGTTGTGTCTCACCTTGGAGCCATTAACCCCTTATATAAGAGATTACTAACATGTAGTTACATGTTGAGCCTTGTGTGTGTGTGTATATATATATATATATATATATACACACACACATATATATTTTCATATAATATTGTGTAAACTCACACAAAGGCACACACACAGCGGCAGTGGCTCTATCTCTCCCGCTGCCCGCGTTCGGTAGTCTCACCCTTCTCCCACCCGGGGAGGTTGATGGCGATGGTCAGGCAGAGGAAGGAACGAGGGCCAGGCTGGTTGGTATTAGTCGCAGTTTATTCCATTCCTCTCTCCATCTACACCAGTCTCTCTTGTCTGTCTCTGCTTCTGTCTCTCTCTCTCCTTCTGTCTCTGCTCCCCTCTGCCCAATCTACAGTCTCATTATATCTCTCTCCAAGAGGAATTGGGGAAACAATACACATAGGTGGGGTCACAATCAATAGGGGTAGACATCTTAGCCTCAGGGAAAGCCGCTCCTAGGACAGATCCTCTCTCAGCATGAGGACCCACCCTAGAGCTGAATCCTATGGGTGTGTCTCTCCTCTCCTTGTCCAACAAGCATATAAGCATATATGATATAAATCATTTTGTATGGATACAGTAAGAAATATCTTAAACTTATAGAATTGCTCTCCTAGGGCCATCTCGATCTTAGACTACAGTGCTCAGGCCAGATAGTCTTTCCCACCCCTAGCAGGATCCTAGTCTCGTCGTTACCTTTGGATCATGACAGCATTTGTCTATGATCAAACTCTTAACTTATAGATAAGAATCCTGTGGCACTTTGGCCTGGCCCATTTCGCTGCCAGAGTAGCTCACCGCTTGCCCTGGGTCCATTCAGTCCCTCGTCGGGACCCTGCTTTTGGGGTGTTAGGAACTAAGGGCAACTGAGGCTTAAGTCGAGAAAGCAGATACCCGGGAGTGAATAATATTCAAAGCCAATCAAATCCTAAGTTACAAAGCATAATGTTAACGGTATTCCTGTGTCTTACAAAAAGGATATTACTTTAAGGTAAACTATTCATAAGGCATAAGGAGAGGAGAAAGGCAATATTTCACTCATACATATAAAATCATAGATTTCTGGGAAACTGATCTTACAAATTAACAAAGTCTGATTAAGGGGAAAACTGATTAACTGGGTGGGAAGGAGAGCATAGGGAAGACTGCTTACAGATAAACACAATGGAAGTGGAAGTGCTTCAGGAGCACTGTGATGGGTGTAACCAGATTGATGGGTGTAACCAGATAAACCTAAGCTTCTTGTGGAAGAAGGACAAAGCAATGTTACCCTACATAATATATATATTTATTTTCATTATATATATTATATATAAATTTATGATCAAGATTAGTTGTCTTCTACTTTACATCTGGGGATTATTTGATCAAACCCAGGATTCCATACTCAAAGCATGCACTTGTCCTTTGAGCTTTCTCTCTGGCTCTTTTATTTATTTTTATTAAGTTTCTTTTTGGAAATAGGTGTTTGGACCACATTCAGTGGTGCTCAGGGCTTACTTCTGGCTCTGTGCTCGGTAATCACTCCTGGTGGTTCTTGGGGGACCATATGTGGTGCCAGGGATGGAATCCAGGTCAGCTGTATGCAAGGCCAATATCCTACTACTATACTATCTCTAAAGCCCTGGGTTTTGTGTTTTTAGTTTTTGTGTTTTGTTTGTTTGTTGGTTTGGTTTGGTTTGGGGCCACACCTAGCAGTACTCAAGAATCACTACAGGAGGTGCCTAGGGGACCATATGTTGTGCACAGGATCAGGGATGAAACCCAGGTTGGCTGCATACAAGGCAAGTACCCTACCTGCGACACTATCTCTCTGCACCAAGTTCTGTCATTTTGTAGCATTGATTAATACTTCCTTTCTGCAAACATTCCTCTATATAGAAATATTTTGTTTATTCATTCAAAAACAAAAAGAACAAGTATATCATAACAAAATTAGCACAGAAATAGCTAGAAAACACAATTTAATGAAAAACTACCTTGATATTCATCAGGATGTTCCTCATACTCCATACAAAATGTAAGAAACTTCATTAACATGCGCTTTTCTACCATAGACAGTTGTTTGCTGTTAAAGACATCTGCTCGGGAACAAGGAACCTAAAAACACATTATCTCAAGTTAGGAAATAGTTCCTAGGTTACAAATACTTTAAAACACACTAATGTTTCTCATTAATTAAACAGTGGTTATTATTTCCAATTTATGTATGCTGTTTCATGTTCCCTTCTATCAATTCTAATTACATCTTTGTTACTACCATAAAATTAACTTGTGAGCTCTGATAATTTTTTTTGCTAAGTTGCTCCCTGTACCACTAAGAGAATAGTTTCCTGAGAGTGGAGAGATAGTACAGTACATAGAGCACAAAATTCCCAACACATCATCTAGTTTTCCATGCCCAGCCAGGATGACCCTTGGGAGCAGAGTTAGGAGTAAGATCTTAGAAAAGGCAGGTGTAGCCCAAGGCCCCCTCCAATGACGAGCAACCTGTCATCCCAAATTGGAATGGATGACAGCGAAGATATAAATACTGCCTGAAATTAATACCTTCAAAATGACATCATGCTGAAGAATAACTTGAGAAACTAAGACTAAAAATTTGAAGTGGGCAATATCTTACTATTTACATTTGCAAATCACCATGCTAGATTAAAATGTACAGCTTTATCAGGATAATAAAACTATCATTTGCTTATTCTTTTAAATAAGTCATTATTAAAATGACTATCCTTCCTAAGCTATTATGTGGATTCAATGTAATATCCATCCAAATTCAGACAGCAAATACAATAGCACATACACAATTATAAGATAAGATTAACACAGCACCTGTTCCACTCTTCCTTCTCGAAATGCAAGTATCCTGGTGATATTTTTGAACTCTGCATATCGACTGACATTAGATTTGATTAGAAGATCAATTAGCAAACCACGAGAATACAAAACCTGTATAAAGAAAGTATTTTCAGAATAAAATAAAAGGTGAGATAGTGGGAAAAAAGATAAAAAGTGCCTAAAATTTATAATTTTATCACTTTAAAATTACTTATACCTTTGATAAAATCCAGCATCTAATTATGACCAATAAAACCCTCAACAAAGCAGGGATAGAAGGAACCTTCTTAAAGATAATATTGGCCATTGATAACCAGCACACAGCTAGTATCATCCTAACAGTGAAAAACTCAAAGAATGCATTCTGAGATCAGGTAGAAGACAAAGATGTATACTCTCTCCACTTTTATTCAAAATAACATTAGAAGTCCTGGTTACAACAATCAGAAAAGTAAAGCAAATAAAACAGGAACAAATTGGAAAAGAAGAACTCAAATTATCACTATTTTCAGTTGACATGATGATATACATAAAAAATCCTAACGAGTCCACCAAAAACTTCCTAGAAATAAGAAATCAATAAAATAAAGTGACCAGTTACAAAGTTAATACAGAAAAATAGGTCACATTATTTTTTTTCTTTTCCACATTTTGAAATTTATGATTAAATTATCATTGGTTTGCAATGCTGTATACAATTTTTTTTCCCTTTATTTTATTTAATTTTTTTTTTTACAGTTGTAGATTTACAATTTTTTGTGCTTTGGTTTCAATTATACAATGATCAGATACCCATCCCTCCACCAGTGCCCATTTTCCACCACCATGGATAATATCCCTCCCACCCCCATCCCCCCATCCCCCCAGTCTCTGTGGCAGGGCAATCCCCTGGGATCTCTCTCTCCTTTTGGGTGTTGTGGTCTGCAAAAGAGGCATTGAGTGGCAAACATGTTCAGTACATAGTCTACTTTCGACATGCATCTCCCCTCCTGGGAGGATCCTCCAAACATCCTTTATTTAGTGCTCCCTTCTCTATCTGAACTGCCCTTTCCTCTAGGATACCCGCTGGCCTCTAAGTTATGGAGTAATCGTCCTGGTGCTGATCTCAGCTATTCTTGGGTATTAATCTCCATACTGTTTTCCAGAAGGGCTGAACCAGTGGACATTCCCACCAACAGTGAAGGAGTGTCCCGTTCTCGCCACATCCACGCCAGCATCGGTTGCTTTTGTTCTTTTGAATGTGGGCCAGTCTCTGAGGTGTGAGATGGTATCTCATTGTGGTTTTGATCTGCATCTCCCTGATGATTAATGATGTAGAGCATTTTCTCATGTGCTTTTTTGCCATTCGGATTTCTTCTTTGAGAAAGTTTCTGTTCATTTCCTCACCCATTTTTGGATGGGGTTGGATGTTTTCTTCTTGTGGAGTTTAACCAGTATTTTGTATATCCTGGATATCAACCCCTTGTCAGATGTGTATTCGGTGAATATCCTTTCCCATTCTGTAGACTGTCTTTGTATTTTGGTCACTGTTTCTTTGGAGGTGCAGAAGCTTCTTAGTTTAAGACAGTCCCTTTTATCTATCTCTGTTTTCACTTGCTCGGCCAGTGGCATGGCATCTTTGAAGATACCATTAGCTTCAATGTCATGGAGGGTTTTGCCAACTTTATCTTCAATGTACCTTATGGTTTCTGGTCTGATGTTGAGGTCTTTAATCCATTTTGATCTTACTTTTGTACATGGTGTTAGGCAGAGTTCTGAGCCTATTTTTTGCATGTAGCCGTCCAGTGATGCCAACACAATTTATTAAAGAGGCTTTCCTTACTCCACTTCACATTACTTGCACCTTTATCAAAGATTAGATGAGCATATGATTGAGGAGAGATGTCAGTGTATTCAACCCTGTTCCATTGGTCTGCAGTTCTGCCTTTGTTCCAGTACCATGCTGTTTTAATTATTACTGCTTTGTAGTACAGTTTGAAGTTCAGGAGGTTGATTCCTCCCATTTTCTTTTTCCCAAGAATTGCTTTAGCTATTCGTGGGGGCTTATTGTTCCATATAAATTTCAAGAGTGTTTGCTCCATTTCTTTGAAGAATGTCATGGGTATCCTTATAGGGATTGCATTGAATTTATACAATGCTTTCGGTAGTATTGCCATTTTGACAATGTTAAGTCTCCCGACCCATGAGCAGGGGATATCTTTCCATTTCCTCATGTCCTCTTTTATTTCCTGAAGTAGCGTTTTGTAGTTTTCTTTGTACAGGTCCTTTACTTCCTTAGTTAAGCTGATTCCTAGGTACTTGATTTTCTGGGGCACAATTGTGAACGGGATTGTTTTTTTTCATGTTGCTTTCTTCTCTCTCACTGTTTGCGTATAGGAAAGCCATGGACTTTTGGGTATTGATTTTATAACCTGCAACTTTACTATACGAGTCTATTGTTTCTAGGAGTTTTTTGGTGGAAGTTATTGGGTTCTCTAAGTAGAGTATCATATCATCTGCGAATAGTGAGAGCTTGATTTCTTCCTTTCCTACCTGAATGTCCTTAATATCTTTTTCCTGCCTAACTGCTAATGCAAGTACTTCCAGTACTATATTGAACAGAAGTGGAGAGAGTGGGCATCCCTGTCTCGTCCTGATCTTAGAGTGAAGGCTCTCAGTTTTTCCCCATTGAGGATGATGCTTGCTGTAGGCTTGTGGTAGATGGCTTTAATTATGTTGAGGAAGGTCCCCTCTATACCCATTTTGGCTAGGGTTTTCATCATAAAGGGGTGCTGGATCTTATCAAATGCTTTCTCTGCATCTATTGATATGGTCATATGCTTTTTATCTTTTCTTTTGTTGATATGGTGGATTATGTTGATTGATTTTCGAATGTTAAACCATCCTTGCATCCCTGGGATGAATCCTACTTGGTCATGGTGTATGATCTTTTTGATGAGTAGTTGGATTCTATTTGTTAGTAGTTTGTTGAGGATCTTTGCATCTGTGTTCATCAGGGATATCGGCCTGTAATTCTCTTTCTTTGTGGTATCTCTGTCTGCTTTTGGTATCAGTGTGATATTTGCTTCGTAGAAACTGTTCGGAAGTGTTTTTGATATTTCAATTTCGTGGAAAAGCTTAAAGAGCATTGGGAGTAAGTCCTCTTTAAAGATTTGGAAGAATTCACTAGTGAATCCATCCGGGCCAGGACTTTTGTGCTTGGGGAGACTTTTTATTACCATTTCAATTTCCTTGATGGTGATAGGTCTGTTCAGGTATTCCAGGTCTTCTTGGTTCAGCCTTGGGAGTCTGTAGGAGTCTAGGAATTTATCCATTTCCTCGAGGTTTTGATGTTCCGTGGCATAAAGCTTCTCAAAGTACTCTCTGAGAATCCTCTGAATTTCTGTGGTTTCTGTTGTAATGACCCCCTTTTCATTTCTGATTCGGTTTATTAAGGTTTTCTCTCTCCCTTTGTGAGTTTTGCTAGAGGCTTATCGATCTTGTTAATTTTCTCAAAGAACCAGCTTTTGGTTTCATTGATCTTTCGGATTGTTTTTTGGGTTTCCATCTCGTTAATCTCTGCTCTGAGTTTTATTATTTCCTTTCTCCTGTTCGGGTTGTGCTCCTTTTTTTGGTCCTTCTCCAAGCTCTTAAGCTGTGAGGTTAGGTTACTTATGTGTGCTCGCTCCTCCTTCCTGAGGAATGCTTGTAGAGCTATAAACTTTCCTCTTAACACAGCCTTTGCTGTGTCCCATAAGTTTTGGTAACTCGGGTTCTCATTTTCATTCGTTTCTAGGAATCTTTTGATTTCCTCTTTGATTTCCTGTCTAATCCACTCGTTGTTCAATAGTGCACTGTTTAATTTCCAGGTGTTTGATTTAGTTTTCTGTTTTTGTGTGTGATTTACTTCTAATTTCAGCGCTTTATGGTCTGAGAAGATTGTTGATACAATCTCTACCTTCTTAATTTTATGGAGGCATGTTTTGTGGCTCAGCATGTGGTCTATCTTGGAGAATGTTCCATGTACGCTTGAGAAGAATGTGTATTCAGCTTTTTGTGGATGAAGTGTCCTGTATATATCTACTAAGTCCCTTTCTTCCATTGTTTCCCTCAAATGAAGTATGTCCTTGCTAAGCTTGAGTCTGGTTGATCTATCAAGAGGTGACAAAGCAGTGTTGAAGTCTCCCACTAGTATTGTGTTGCTATTGATGTCTTTTTCCAAATCTATGAGAAGTTGTTTTAAGTACTTTGCTGGTCTCTCATTAGGTGCATATACATTTATTATTGTAAGTTCTTCCTGTTGTACAGATCCTTTGATCAATAAGAAATGGCCTTCACTGTCTCTTATGACCTTCCTCACTCTGAAATCGATGTGGTCTGATATAAGGATGGCTACCCCAGCTTTTTTATGGGAGCTGTTTGCCTGTAGGATTGTTTTCCAGCCTTTGACTCTGAGTCTGTGTTTGCTTTGACTATTGAGATGCGTTTCTTGCAGGCAGCAGAATGTTGGGTTCAATTTTCTAATCCATCCTGCCACTCTATGTCTTTTAATTGGTGTGTTTAGCCCATTGACATTGAGAGAGATTATTGTTATGGGATTTTGTCCCATTGTTCTGTTAAAATTTGGTGTATTTGAGGGGCCTTTCTTGCCTTAAAGTAGCCCATTTAGTTGTTCTTGTAACCATGGTTTTGAGTCTATGAAGTTCCTGAGCTGTTGTTTGTCTGTGAAATTGTGTTTTGTTCCTTCTATGAATGAGAGTCTTGCTGGGAAAAGTATTTTTGGGGAGGCATTTATTTCATTGAGTTTTTTTACTATGTCCCACCACTGTTTTCGGGCCATGAGGGTTTCATCAGAAAAATCAGCTGTGAATTTTAAGGATGCTCCTTTGTAAGAGATTTCTTTCTTCGATCTTGCTGCTTTCAGAATTTTGTCTCTGTCTAAGGTTTTGGTCATTTTGATCAGAATGTGTCTTGGGGTATTTTTATTCGGATTTCTTCTAGCTGGTACCCTTCGGGCCTCCTGAATGTGGCCACAAGTTTTCTTCAGCTCTGGAAACGTTGTAGCAATGATGTCTTTGACAGTTTTTTCTTCATCGAGGTTTTCTTCCTGTACCTCTGGGACTCCAATAATT